TCTATATTTCTGGGGTCATGGGAAACTTTATCAGATGGAAAACAGTCGTGAAAAAAATTTCTGGGGTGGAAATGGTTCATTAATGGAAAAAGTTCGAGAAGCCCTGCGGTAGAGCATATAAGAAGTATTGACATGCACACTCCAAGGGCTTAGGTGTTTTGAATTATTATCATTATTATTTTGTGGGAGGAAATCGGGGCGCATGGGAGTGATGGCATGCTACAGTAAGGAGCATGCAGGGCTGCCTGTGCCAATAACCGGCCCTTTGCCAATCCCTAATGGGTGCAGGAGCATTTGCTCAGTGGTATAACTATGCTAGAGAAAGGTATTCATTGCTTCAGGATTGTACTGGATATTAACTATAAGGTCAAACTTTTAAAAATATTTTATGCATTTCCACAATTTATCCCCTAAAGTTCCAACTCTCTAACTACTCAAGAAGTTCTTGCAAGCCAAGTACAAAGCTCAGTTTAGCACCACCTTTGCAGTAAAGTAAAGTGGGGAACTGCCAAATTTGAGTTGGTAGCTTGGAGACATGTGTGGAGCGAATGAGTGAGAATTAGAAATAAATCATTCAGGTCTAGGAATTAATGACTGAAGTTTAAGATTCTCAGTACCTTTTGTGGAATAGAATGTGAAAATGAAATATATGTTATATATGTATATACTCGCACACACAGACACAAACCGTCTCTGCCATGCGTTGGTGTGGCCCAGTGTGGTGATCTGGAAAATAAAGTAATGAGAAAGTGTTGGTTTCAAATATATGTAATTTCTTTATGCGTATCTTGATGTGGAGATTGTCTGGTTTGCCTACTCTGGAACAGGCAACATATAATTGTCCTCCTTTAGGGGTTCCTTTCTAATCTATGATACTATATCTCTGTGTGTGAATCATATCTATCTATCTATATCTATGACTGGATGGCTCTTTGTCAGGAGGGCTTTGATTATGTCTTCTTTCCCTGGTGAAGGGAGTAGGACTGGATGGCCTTAAGTATTTTCTGTTGGTCATGGGAGTTCTGTGTGGGAAGTTTGCCCTAATTCTGTCATTGGTGGGGTTCAGAATGCTCTTTGATTGTAGGTGAACTATAAATCCCAGTAACTACAACTCCCAAATGTCAGTCTATTTCCCCCAAACTCCACCAGTATTTACATTTGGGTATATTGAGTATTATGCCAAGTTTGGTCCAGATCCATCATTGTTTGAGTCCACAGTGCTCTCTGGATGTAGGTGAACTACAACTCCAAACTCAAGGTCAATGCCCACCAAACCCTTCTAGTGTTTTCTGTTAGTCATGGGAGTCCTGTGTGCCACGTTTGGTTCAATTCCATCATTGGTGGAGTTCAGAATGATCTTTGATTGTAGGTAAACTATAAATCCCAGCAAATGAAAAAAATCATTTTTTTGAGTTATGTCACTCCTTGGGTTAGTAGGTGTCTTGTGGCCAAATTTGGTGGCAATTCGTCCAGTGGTTTTTGAGTTATGTTAATCCCACAAACGAACATTACATTTTTATTTATTATTATTTATTTATTTATTTATCGTGTCATCAGCAACCATTGTATTACAATTCTAACAGAGCAAAACAAACACAGAGATTAAAAAGAAAAAGAAAAAGAAAAAAAAGAAAGAAAAAACCACACAGATTTTTTAAATTTGGTATTTGGTTAAATGTCCTTTGACCAGTATCTGGCCACTTGGAGTGCCTCTGGTGTTGCCGCAAGAAGGTCCTCCATTGTGCATGTGGCAGGGCTCAGGGTGCATTGCAGCAGGTGGTCAGTGGTTTGTTCTTTTCTCCGCACTCGCATGCCGAGGATTCCACCCTGTAGCCCCATTTCTTAAGATTGGCTCTGCATCTCGTGGTGCCAGAGCGCAGTCTGTTCAGCGCCTTCCAAGTCGCCCAGTCTTCTGAGTGCCCAGGGGGGAGTCTCTCATCTGGTATCACCCATGAATTGAGGTGCTGGGTTTGGGCCTGCCACTTTTGGACTCTCGCTTGCTGGGGTGTTCCAGCGAGTGTCTCTGTAGATCTAAGAAAACTATGTCTTGATTTAAGTCGTTGACGTGCTGGCTGATACCCAAACAGGGGATGAGCTGGAGATGTCTCTGCCTTGGTCCTTTCACTATTGGCTGCTACTTCCCGGTGGATGTCAGGTGGTGCAGTACCGGCTAAGGAGTGTAATTTCTCCAGTGGTGTGGGGCGCAGACACCCCATGATAACGCGGCATGTCTCATTAAGAGCCACATCCACTGTTTTAGTGTGATGAGATGTGTTCCACACTGGGCATGCATACTCAGCAGCAGAGTAGCATAGCGCAAGGGCAGATGTCTTCACTGTGTCTGGTTGTGATCCCCAGGTTGTGCCAGTCAGCTTTCGTATGATGTTGTTTCTAGCGCCCACTTTTTGTTTGATGTTCAGGCAGTGCTTCTTGTAGGTCAGAGCATGGTCCAAAGTGACTCCCAGGTATTTGGGTGCGCTGCAATGCTCCAGTGGGATTCCTTCCCAGGTAATCCTCAGAGCTCGGGATGCTTGTCTGTTCTTAAGGTGAAAGGCACATGTCTGTGTTGTAGATGGATTATGGATCAGCTGGTTTTCCCTGTAATAGGCAGTGAGAACGCCTAGAGCTTTGGAGAGCTTCTGCTCAGCCATCTCAAAGCTCCCTGCTTGAGTGGTAATGGCACGATCATCAGCATAGATGAACTCTCTGTCCCTTCTGGCAGTGGCTGGTCATTTGTGTAGATGTTGAACATGGATGGAGCAAGCACGCTCCCCTGAGGCAGGCTGTTCTTCTGTTTCCGCCATCTGCTTCTCTGGCCCTGGAACTCAACAAAAAAGCTCCTGTTTTGTAGCAGGTTTCCTATGAGGCGGGTGAGGTGGTAGTCCTTTGTGATATTATACATTTTTCTCAGGAGGAGGCGGTGGTTCACAGTATCATAGGCTGCTGACAAGTCTATGAAGACAGCTCCTGTGATCTGCTGCCTTTTGTGCTCATCTTCTGTTAATAAAGTATTGTGTTTGTGCTCATCTTCTGTTAATAAAGTATTGTGTTTGTGCTCATCTTCTGTTAATAAAGTATTGTTCTGGGCAAATGCTTTTGGCCTTCAGTAATGCACTGTGCACACACACACACTTTTGCAAGAACAGAGTCCATATTCATTTATTCGCTTACCCGAGTCCAGGGTAAATGGTCTTTCTAGGAATTTGTTGGGTCTTCCAGACAATTCTTTGGTATTCTTTTCCCATAATTTACCATAGATTTTTAGAGAGGATACCTCTAGTTTCTCCAGGTCAATCTCAAGGTTCTCCAGCTCAGCTTCATGATATGGTGGACTATAGCCCTATATCCCAGGAACTGATCCCAGATTATCTGCTTTGAAATGAATTATATGAATCTCCACTGCCATATAATCTGGGATAAGGAGATAATCTGGGATCAGATCCTGGGATATAGGGGCAGTATGAAAGGTGCTTCAGTCTTGGCGATAGTGAGATTTTTAGAAGTCTTCACAGACGGTGAAACTTTTTTTTTTCCACTCATGAGAAATTTTATGCAACCCTGGGTATATAAGTATATAAAATAGATATAAAAATCAAACATTCGCAAGGCTTGCTCTAAACAGGCTGATTTTCCTTTTTGTGGAGTTCAGTTGAAGCATTTTCTGCAGAGTCTACTGTAAACACTGCATGTTGTTGCTAACAGATTCATGCAGATGTCTAAAACAGCCACTAGATGGAGTTTTACTGCTGCTAAAACTCTAAAATTATAACAGTAAATAAAGAACAAAACTCAAACACAGGGGAACTCCAGACAAGAAACAATAAGGAACACCCAATCACCTCTCATCAAAATAATTTCCCAGGTAGTACCAAGCCACGCCTAAAAATTGTCAGGCCATCAAATGTTAATCAAGGTGGCCAATTGAAATATTCACACCTAGCTCCAACAGACAAGAGTTTTTTCTTCCACCCTGGACCTTCCACAGATATATTTTCCTAGTTTCCAACAGTCCTCACAACCTCTGAGGATGTTTGCTACAGATGTAGGTGAAACGTCAGGAGAGAATGCTTCTAGAACATGGCTATACAGCCTGAAAAACCTACAACAGCCCAGTTTCAGAATTACCTATTTATGTAGCTATTTTGCATTGCAGTCTGCTAAATGTTCTTGAAATACATAACCTGATCTTAAAGTTGAGGACACTCTTGAGAGTTTGGGGTTTGGGGTTCTAAAATAGTTTGGCATGTCTCACCAATAATTTATCTTTGGAATGGATAGTAGATCCAAAACTGACATCAGAAATGAAATCTTGCTCTGGCATTTAAAAGGGACGATTTTAAAGATGCCCAAGCCTTAGAGGAGGTTCTGGTCCCCGGCCTTTGTGTGTAATCAAACTGGAAGAAATAAAGAATGTCCTAATTGTGCTTCGAGAAACTTAAAGTGAAACATTACATTTTAAATTCTTTGCACAAGCATCTCCTATAAGTATATTAGCATACCGAGAACTGTACCCTTATGTTTTTTTGTTACCACATATAAAGTAATTCTAGGGGTATTTTAAAGCTGCACTTTAGGAATTAAATTCACTTCTAAAATAATAAACAGTAGTCGGTCCCAAAGGCTCCCCACATCAACTTTCATTTTGTAATGCAGGCGAGTCCTTGTGATATAAAACCTTATGACATTTTAATTAGGAAAATAGATCATGCAATTCCATACGATGGAATAAATTTTCCAAGCGCTGCTGCTTTGGTCTACTGCATGTTCCTCTAAATTGGAATAAAAATGCATTAAAACTTGTCTAAATTAAATCAGTCTTAAGGTTGGGGGGAGGACGGAAGAGGGAGAAACTGTTGTTTTTAATTTAGAGGGGACCTTTCTTCTACTTTAAATCTGTGCAAAGGAATATTTGTTTGCCAAGGCAGTCTTTTGCAAGGCGAAAAGTAACTCCTTTGGTTTGGCTCCTGACTCCCTTTCTTTATGTTAATTTTGCATTGCAGGCAAAGGGGAGGATAGCGACGTTCTCAGCATCAATGCAGACGCCTATGACAGCGACATCGAAGGCCCGTGCAATGAAGAAGAGACCCCAGATGTGCCAGAAAGGACTGCCAGGAGTGGAGATGGCCCGATAGACGACCTTCAGAAGGACATTGAGAAAAGTGTCAACGAGATCTTGGGGCTGGCTCAATCCTCCCCAAAGGAGACAAAGGCAGCGGCACTAGCGGCTCCTCCAGCAGATGATGTTCAGCCATCAGCGCAACAGCTGGAGCTCCTAGAGCTTGAGATGCGAGCAAGGGCTATTAAGGCCCTCATGAAAGCTGGAGATGCAAAAAAATAGCCCCAGGCCTGTTTCATTTGCAAGATGCCTCTATTTGTTCTGATGGGTCTGTGTGATGTCAGCTCCCTTCAGTGCCGAAACGATGTTTGGACCAGCTTCGACATTCCTCATTTCAAACCCTCTGTGTATCCTAACTCGTGGCTGAAATAATCGGCAGCAGTTTGTCACTGTCATCAGGATGCAGCTTCAGTGACTTACAAACATTGATTGGTTGGGTACTGTTTAGCCTGGTTGGTCACTTTTCTTTCCCAGTTAGATTATATCTCAAAAGCAATCAGAAAACAAATAGTCACAGACGACATAGATCTTTGGCTAAATCCCAGTGCTTTACAAAGAAATAAAAGTGCTGTAGATGTTTTGTCTATTTAGAACAAGTAGTGATGGATTGCATTCCTCATCAACCTGAGCCAATGTAGCCAATGGTGAGGGGCGATGGGTGTTACCATCCAATACAATTTGGAAGGGAACACATTTCCATTTACTTGGCTTAGAAATTTTTATTGTTGAAGAGAAGAAAGGGACCCTTTCCATAAGAGAGAAAGAGCTACAGTTAAGTCTTGGAAGACTTTCTAAAACATATACACATTTTGCACATATCAGTGGTGGTACACATTGCCTTTGACCTGCATGATCCCCTCTTGAAAGTAAACACAGCGGCGTGGATTTTCAATAGGAATTGGGAAACGATGTGTCTGGCCTTAGTAATTCTCCAGTTTTTCGTGAGCCTTAAACATTTATAATCTCTGTAATTTCAACAAAAATAGTTCTTGTCTCCTTTAATTGCAGTGAGTTCTATGGCTATGTCTGTCGGTGTGTCTTAAATCTCACTCTTTGAAAAACTTTTGGTACTTGAAAGTAGTAATGTATGTGGTGCACAGCTTTACAGAATATGAAAAACGTAATTTTAAAATGAGTTGTTAAACCTCAAAAATTTAAAATGCATGCTTACGTTGTAGAGTTAATGTGATTAAAGATAATTTCAAGACCCAATGTTTAAGAAAGTACAGAAGTGCCTGATTGCTCAGACTAGCGGTTCCACAACTGTTTTTATTTCTCAGCAGATGTGTTTTCCTCTCCTTTCATTACTAGCATGGTTTTCTAATTTCTGTTTAATGGTGACATTTCCATGCAGTTGGGGTATTTGTATTTATTTGTCATTCGCTTGTCCGTCCTGTAAGATGAAGCAGAGCACTCCAGAATGTGAATTGCCAATATGCTGGGGTTTCATTTGGATATATGCATTCTTGCATCCATTGTACAAATTACTGATTGACCCCTTATTGACAACACCCAGCATATCAACACTTGTTGTTTTTGAAGAGGAACAAAATAGAAACTAGAAAACATGTACCAATGATCCCAATAAATATAATGTAATTTAAAATATTCTACATCTTTGGTGATTTTTGGATATATATAGAGGGGAGGAGGGAGAGAAATGGGGGAAGCAGGTGAGCATCAAGTATCTGTTTGAACAGAAATCACTCTTTGGTTCTCCCACCTTCTTAAGTTTGAGTATTTGGGTTGAAAAAACTTGGCACATTTTAAAAGGGGGGTCATCAGCTGTGTAGTGAAGACTGAAGGAGACAGCACTGCTTTGAAAGACAAAAAAGATTTCCCCTCCTATCTTTGAGTTGTGGGAGTAGATGAGATACTTAACTGAAAGAAAATTTGAGGCGAGGAGAATGATTATGAGGGAAGGGAATTCAATGTTTTCATCCCTTGGTGCTGAAATCCCTCCATTGCCTTGTATAAAGCACACGGAACTTTATAAATGGTGTCTCTCTTAAGTTGGTTGCAGCAATAATCATAATCATAATAGTAAAGGAAGGTCCAAGAAATACTTAAATGTTTTTGATTAAAATCTTTTAATTCTTTTAATGCAGGTTTGGTATCTATGTGTTTAGTTACCATTGTATTTTCTTGTAGAAAAATCAACATACCTCTCATTAAGAATGCAGGCATTTACCTAAATCACTGCCTGCCTGCCTGCCTGCCCCCCCCCCCTCTTTCTCTCTCTCTCTCTCTCTATCAGGAATGTGCTGTTTAGTCTGCTGTTGGGGTTATGAGCACCTAACCTTTGTTGAGTCAAAGCATTTTTCTACTTAATCGCCTTATTCATTGGTGTGTATATATTGGTGTGTGTTTATGTACACACACACACACACATTCATCCCTTCATTCATTCGTGTTATTTGTGTTCTGAGTTTTAAGCCTGTCCACCTTAAAGGTTAATGTTGCAGCATTTTAAAAAAAATGCAGATAAATGTTAATTAAACATCTCAAATTCATCCACTTCATTTTCTAAAAATGCTTCTTTGTATTTGAACCATCAGTGAGAGAAAAATGTACAAAATACATGTAACCTTTTGCCCTAAGCTTCTGTAAGGAGGCCAACTGCTTGTTCAGTCCCAGTAATTCCCCAGATGCATTAAAAGCTTTGGGTCAGTTTGGCCTCAGTGAAAGTGAATGGGAAAAAGTTGAAACACTATGTATCCAAATGTGATTTTAAAACTCCCAATGTCTGTTAGAGGGTATATTTATTGAAAACAAATCCCACTATGTTCAATAGGATTTATTCTGAAGTGGGTTGAAAAGCTGGTTTACATCTTAATATATTTGGGTTTGTTTTGTGTGAGGAGCAACTCGAAAAACTGCAAGTTGCTTCTGGTGTGAGGGAATTGGCCGTTTGTGAGGACATTGCCCAGGAGATGCCCAGATGTTTTGATGTTTTTACCATCCTTGTGGGAGGCTTCTCTAATGTCCCTTTCCCCTTGTATTAACCAGCACCAACTTGTCTATATCTTTTTAAAGTCAGTCTTCAATTCAGTTTGTCTCCAGTGTATTTGGCAACTTATAGAGCTGGAGATTTCTGGAAGGCAGGAATAAAGTAGAACATTGAATGAATAATAAGAAAGAGGAAAATTTTTCTGGTTACTTTTGGTGATCTTGGTGGCATTGTGCAATTTTTGAAACTGTTCTGCTAAAAATCCCTATAAATTGCAAATACAACATAACTTTCCTTAGAACAATGTCCTTCACAGTTATATACTCCCATTAAAATTACTAAGCTTACATGGGATTAAGAAACCAGGGTGTTTTTTTTTCCAAAACAGAGAGTTATGCCCAAAAGATTTTATGTCCTCAATGATATATGGCTTTGTAAAATAACATAACTTTGGGTTGAGCTGGAAGAGTTCTTTGGTCCTTTTGCATAGAATTTATGATTCTATGATCTGGCTCTCAAAAGGTTTCTGTTTTGTTTTGTTTGATTTTAAGTCTGGTACCTACCGAGCTAATTGCCATGTTCCTATGAAATACTATACATACTCATGTATAAATTAAAAAAATAGACAAAACCTCTTGGTGACTTACCTATTTTCCTTCTTTCCCCACTTTCTGTTTTGTTATTGACACATACTCAGAAATTTTGGAGGTTGCTGCTGTTGCCTTGCCTGTTTTAGCTACAGTAAAAAATTGCCATTCTTTCCCAGCATTTATTGCATTTTTACTGTAGGCATGCTACACTAAAATTTGTATCTAGATTTCACCATACTTCGTTCACCATTCTCCCATTGCTGGTATGGAGGCTTCTGAAAACAATTCAGTCAACCTGGGCATTTAACTGTGACTCTATGATGTGTTTAGAATTCAGTAATCAAATGTCCACGTATCTAAGATTGGCAATGGCATGCTGAAGCTTTAAAATGTATTCTAAAGAAGTGTAGACCGATGCATGGAAGTGATTGATAAGTCAATTGGTCAAATAAAGCCATTAATTCCAGAAAAATGAAAAAGGAATAGCGTATTTTTTAACTGTTGAGCATTATGCCTGGGAGAGTGCAAGCAACCACTTGTTTGTACACTAATTCATTTTCAGTACTACCAAGCATTTGTATTTCAGAATTATCAACCCTATTATTTTACTAGTCTGCATCAATTCCTCCTTGAACGCTTCCCGTATAATCAAACCAATATAATATAAAAATACAAAAAGTTAAGATGCTTTACAGAATGCTTTTCATGCTGTGAGTTAAACAGCTTTCCCCACTCTCAGGCCCTCAAACAGTGCACCATCAGTCCCCAGCAGCAGCAGTTAGGGATTATAGAGGTTACCAACCTGTGGGACTGCAGGAATGAAAATCCAGTCTGTGAATCTCCTTCCTCTTTATTTAGTTACTTTATTTTATTTCTGCTCCTTTCCGCAGAGCTGACTAGCCCTGCCCCTTTCAGTACTAATGTTGGAGAGTGGTCCCTGGTCAAGTGGGCCCTGAGTTGGCCCTGGTCAAAGTGAGTCCTGGTCAAGTGGGCCCCAATCAAAGTGGGCCCTGATTAAGTGGAACCTGGACAAAGTGAGTCCTGGTAAAGTGGACCTTGGTCAAAGTGGGCCCTGGTCAAAGAGTCCTGGTGAAGTGGACCCTGGTCAAGTGGGCCCTGGTCAAAGTGGGCCCAGTTCAAAGTGAGTCCTGGTCAAGTGGGCCCCAATCAAAGTGGGCCCTGATTAAGTGGGCCCTGGTCAAAGTGAGTCCTGGTCAAGTGGGCACCAATCAAAGTGGGCCCTGATTAAATGGACCCAGGTCAAAGTGAACCCTGGTCAAGTGGACCTTGATCAAACTGGGTCCCAGTCAAAGTGGGCCCTGATTAAGTGGGCCCTGGTCAAAGGGAGTCCTGGTCAAGTGGACCCTGGTCAAAGTGGCCCCTGGTCAAGTGGGCCCTGGTCAAAGTGGCCCCTGGTCAAGTGGGCCCTGGTCAAAGTGATCCCTGGGCAAGTTGCCCCCTGTCAAAATGGGCCCTGATTAAGTGGGCCTCAGTCAAAGTGAGTTCTGGTCAAGTGGACCCTGGTCAAAGTGAATCCTGGTCAAGTGGACTCTGATCAAAGTGGGCCTTGATCAATTGGGCCCTGTGGTCAAAGTGAGTCCTGGTCAAGTGGACCCTGGTCAAAGTGAACCCTGATTAAGTGGCCCTGGTCAAAGCAAGTTCTGGTCAAGTGGACCCTGGTCAAAAAAAGGTTGGACTCACTGTTGTAGACCAATACTAGCCTAAAGCTCAAGACTGTCGCTGTTTTAGGTCATACAGTACTTCTAAGAGAAGAGGATGTGAAGAGGTATTTGAATCCTCAGAGGGCTGAAGGAACTTCGAATAAGAGTTCCCATTTCATAGCATGTGGTTGAGATAAACAAAACTTTCCACAAGAGAACATAGGAAAAGTCCTGCTGAATTGGAAGCAACTGAATTGGGCCAACTGATCCAGGATGGTTTTCTCACAGTACTGACCTAAGAATACCATCCCCATACTGCTCATCTTTCTAACAAGAGGAATTGAGAGGCACATGGTCTCGGATTTCACTGGTGAAAACAGTTATGCTTGTAAAACCTTTAGTGTCATATCAAGATCAATGCTCCATTTTCCACTCCCTCCCTCTGGCCCCAGAACCATTCGCATTGCTCAAGGCTCTGCTCCATCTGCTGTGCTTCTTTATTCTGCACTGCAGTGGTTTCTCCCATTCTGTTTAACAGCTAGGAGTGTGCCTGTCCTTTATGTTACAGGAGGCTAGAAAAATGCAGTTGTCCTAAACTTTGTTATTAAGAGTTCAAAATGAGCCTGGCCATCATGTGACACCAGAAACAGTACACTTTATGGCCTCTTGCATGTCCATGGTGGTGTGCTATAAATGAAATGCATCCATTACAAACTTAGGGAATGTATGACGCCTCTATTGACTGCACTGGCTGCCGATAAGTTTCTAGCCCCAATTCAAGGTGCAGGTTGTGACCTACAAAGCCCTGCCTATATTTGAGGATGCATCTCCCCCTATGAATGGTGTGGGCTCTAAGATCTGCTGGGGATACACTCCTCTCCCTTCCACTACCGTCACAAGCACAGTTGGTGGTGTCAAGGGAGAGGGCCTTCTCAGTGGTGACCCCCAATGTTAGAACTCCCTCCCCAGGGAGATTAGGCAGTCTCACACACTGTTCCTGGATGTTCCAGCAAGTTTTCGATGATTAGTTCCTAGGCCCAGTTCCCAGGTAGCCAGATAACACTCTGTCCTGCACTTTATCCACTTCCCTGTTAAGTGTAATTAAATTGTGTTATATTGTCGAATGTATTTATTTTGATGTAATTGTCTGTATGGTTTCTTTCCAGCAATTGAATGTTTGCCTTACATGTTGGAAACCGCTCAGAGAAAGGGCAGTATGAAAATAAAGTATTATTATTATTATTGGAAACACAAAAAAAATATTGTACACTGCAAACGAGGGCTCTCTGCTGACTTGTATTTGGATCACACATCAGACACTTTCCAAGTATCTAGGACTATGTGATGTATCAGCGAATAACGCATGCAGATCCCAGTAGGGTGGCCTTTTGCAGCTGGAAGATGG